AGATATTTTAATGGAGACCATGGTGGATACCAGGAAATCTCGGGCACATTAAATTCTCCACCAATAATTTTCTGTTGCCGGCTGCTCAGCGGCATATGAGAAGGCGTCCACTAAGCGATCGATATCCGATTTACTACAGTGTGCTGGGTTGTACACACAACCAACAAGGATGGTCTTGCACTTTATTTGAATGTGAATCCAAACAGATTCATCAAACCTATCTAGAAGTGGGTCGCACAAAACGGTTGCATTGGGCTTATTGTCTAACTATATGCAGAAACTGCCGCCATGGAGGAATATGCGGTTGCTGCTAACGCTGCGGAAGTTTGGGATATAAAAGTAGGTAGCAGAAGTACGTTCGTTTTCCCAAGTCTCTGTTACAAGTACCATGTCAACACATTAGCGAAAGTATAGAGAACGTAGATGGTGCATTTTATTGTTTAGAGACCGAGCATTTAAGAGAAGTAATCTAACATATCCACATTGCGTAGGCAGGTTTAATGACGGTTTGAATACGTTTGGACAAAGGGCATCATCCCATGTAATGGACGGACTTGCACGGGTAAAGTCGGAATACACGCTGCTGGTTTCGAGCGCATTTGGGCTAAGTTGATGATCTGTTGAAAAAATTGCATACCCTGATGATTCATTGGGGATGGCGGGCTTGTGGTCGCCTAAAATAGTAGCTTGGTTCCTATGGGTTTCCAATGTTTGAGTGTAGTTTGGGATACCATTTGGAACCGTCGCTCTCAGGCTTGTGATAGGTGGTATGGTACTAAACACAGTCTGTTTGCCTATTGAGCTACAAGTAGACGGATTCCTAAATCTTAGGTCCTTGGACGGTGTCAATCGACGGGTCGAGCGCACTAGTTAACAAGGAATTCACGGCAGACGGATCAGAAAGAAAGTGCTTCGTAGGGCGGGGATAATCTGCTCATCTTTCTATTAGCTTGATTGTTGATAATATTCTCCCATTCCAGTTAGAGTATTTCGTTAGACGTTTTAATGCTTCGTCTGCTGGAAATTATCAGAAATGACAAGCACTCTGAGTTTGCTCTGAGGTGCTGACTTCTGTAACTTGGTCGAACAAGTGAATGTGACTTTGTTGGTGTTGTTAAAATTGTAGCGTGTGCCAATGGAGCTACGAATTTTCTTGCGAGTCATCAGCTTCCACGGGGCATCTTGTATAGCGCTGATCATAATCATGTTATATAGGCTTGCGCCATCTGTGACAAAGATAGGTTGAGAACACTTGAGCGACATCTATGTAGATCTGCGGATAATGTTGGAGTTACAACTTATTCCGTCGGTGTAGTACTAGTTGTGGTAGATATCTGATAGATATCTGAATGTGAGTATTATTGCTACTGAAGGGCAGTTTTGTTAGTGGGCACTCAAACGCAGTCGCGAGTTCATCTAGGTAGGTTACCCACAGAACCTTCATTTAGATGTCATCATCACATGCAGTTCGTAACTCTGTTTGCTATGAGTGGGTGCGTTACTCTGTTTCTTTGGAACAGGCTTATGCATCAACTCAAGTGGTGTCTTATCCGACCTCATAACAATATGTTTAAGTTTGGTTGTTGTATTTATATTTGACATATTCCGTGTTGAAAATTTCGCAGTCCCAGATTTTTGGAACTTCAGTAGCACCGAGCACGTATGCTTTAAGCTCTTCTTTAGACGTACCGCAAGGAGTTTTTCATTGTGAAGCCCGATGTTGTCTAATATTAAATGCTTCAACTTATTCTAAGGTAGTCTACCTGGGACATTCAACACTATGACATTACTTTCACGGATAATCCGTTCAGGCACTGCAATGGAATTTACCAGGGAAAGTTACCATCCATATGTAGGTGGTCGAATGATGGATTAGAAAGTCGGTGAGTTATGTGAATAACTGAGTCCATAATAGGAACCAGGGGCCTAACAGCAGCCAAGCTTTCTTGCAAATCTTTCACAGCACTTTCAAGCTCATTTATTCTGTCTTGTAATCCATAGCATGCTGTTGTCCTGTGTACTGCAGGAAGTGGGATTATTAGCGCTTATTGTCACCGCTGTGGTCAATGCAGTAGCTTGGCTACTGACACTTTTCTTTCTCATGGAACGCGTGTTTACGACTATCATGAGATAATAGTGGTTTTCTCACACATGATATGCAAGCGTTTGAGGAGCAAAAATATCAGATGTAAGAGAGTAGAATAGCATAGTACCGCAGGTACGACAGTCACCTTTAATGCCTAATTTAACTTGGCTCTAATCGCTAATCTTGCAAACAGCAACTGGGTATGGTGGAACAAAATATAAAGCAGTTAGTGGCTTAAACTAATTCTGTTTGTCCGGTTAAGGACTAAAGGACCTACTGTCACCAGTTTCACGTCAAGATCGTTTACTGGGAATGTGATCAAACCGATCTGCTGTGACTTGACAAAGCCCCAGTGCAAGCTGATTTCAGTTCATATGTTAGTCGAAGCGCACACGGTCAGATGACTGCCGGCGCTAGTTGTTCTACTGCTGATTGGCCCCATTTCGACGAGCGATGCGCAGATTCGCAGGCTACCGATCGCGTGCTGGTAGAAGTACTATGCAATGCAACACTGGTGAAATTTCGGCGGTCCGCTCGTGAACTGCTGCTTGGTCGACAACGGCTGCAGTAGTACATCGTGCGGCTTAACTTCGTCAGTCTGCTCATACCCATGGAATGCAGCAATATTCTTGGCATAGCGACCTAATCACTGGCGATATATATATATATATATATATATATATATATATATATATAAGTAGGCAGTTTACAACATGACAATTTTACGAATTTGTTGCACTTCCTACAGTTGGTTGTCAGATGTCATCTTTATCCTGTACGGATTAGACTACATAGCTTGAGAGCCTGTTTTCTCTTTTCCTGTTCTCTCTAGCCTCCTTTGTTTGAACTGGAGAAGCACTTTCTTTAATCTACACTTTCTCCAGTGAATCATTTTGGCAATTCGGCAAGATTTGTGTGGCTCACAAGTCCTCTGAAGTTTCCAATGCAGCATACGCTTTCAATTGTGGTAACCACTTGAAGCTTCTGAAAAATCGCTCCTTCCTCCTGTTTACGGCGCATTTTGACTTCCATTTTAACCTCCATCCTTCTTCGCAGCTTCTTTTCATCCCAAAGTTTACTTGACTCAACTACTGTATTAGGTAGCCTCTCAAGCAACAAACCATGAAGTGGACCTCAAGTCTTAGTCTAATTCCCAGACCCTCATCTACATGTGTTTTGCTCTAGTGGTTGAATTTTCCTCCCGTTGCCCATTCTGGCTGCTTTCGAAAATGGGTACGATTTGATTAAATTGGTCGGTCCAGTCATTAGCACACTCAGACAACCAGACAAAGATGTTACCACTATTAAGCAATTTATTTCGGGTTACACCTATGCTGAGTGGTTCGTTTGATTTTCTTATCATTTGGTGTTACAAAATCTGGTGTTTTTTGAAATCCTTAGCTAATTACGCACCATGATGTAGTAGTTCTTCCTTGTCTCATATGATGCAATCGATTATGGGCCCGTTATAAGTACTCGTGTGCGTACAATCGCACCGTTTAGTGACAGTAGTGTACACTCCTGTATTCGCGTTTCGTAACTACATGACAGGTTGACAGTGTGTTTGTTTCTGTCTCAAGTGACAATGACAGTCTCAAGCAGCTAATTAAACCAATTTCCCGAAGCATGTTCATTATACAGGCTATTAAGTTACCCTCCTAACGTAGGTACTAACGGAATTTTCAAGACCTGAAGGTGTTTGTGCATTGAAATGGAAGTCAGTAGGATTGTAGCTTTAGTTATAGCACTTGTGGCGTAGTTTTGTTAAATTTTTCATTGTCGGGATGCTTAAGGTATAGTTGTGCATTCCCTGCAGTACCTAATCTGGTTATAAAGCACATATCAGTTCGAATCTGCCAAAGTAGCCATGCGAGAATCAGAACAAAGACTGGTCAGCCGTCCAAAATCAGTGAATAAGGAACAATGGGTCATTTTCTAATGTGCCTAAATTTAAACTCCTAGTTTAGTGATCCGCAATTCCAATGGCTGATGCTTGCTGCCTAACTGTCTGAGTGCAGCGGCTGTCGCTGATCGTTGCTTCGCATCTGTTTGAACTGCTCCTGTCTTGAAAGGAAATAAGCATTTTTGGGCTGTTCGTCCGTTCCTTGCAAACGTGGTTAGCTTGCGCTGGCGGCGTTGATTAGCTATCCATCTGCTGTCTCCGTTGGTTGTGCTCGCTGGGTCGATCAACTGATATTACATCACGTGTCGTTTGCTCAAAACCAGTTTCGCATGCAGGAACTCGAATACATTTGTCTGGGACCAAAAGGGTGCTTTAATTACAAAACGTTAACCCAATTCCGTACTGTTTATCTGCTCCGTTCAAGCGTGGTCAACTTGCGCTCAAGGCCCTGATTGGCTTTCTAGTCCACTGACTGCGCTTTGGTTTGGCCTGCATAACCTGTCAGCCTCCTTTACGCCGGTAACTGGGGCTATAGGTAATTGGATAAGGATGGAACACCGTTTGCTATTAAGGAAAAAAGGCTGACTCCAGGTTAAAGCAAACACCGAGAGTCCTGCTTTTAAATGTTTACCTGATCTGGGTGCATAAATCAATTTCTTGACTTGACCCAACTTTCCAGCTATGACCCCATTGACGGAGCTGAACTTGGTTCACTTTAGCTAAGGACTCCATCTCAATTATTCGCAAAAACCAAAGCTTCCAAAAAGTCGGTGTTTAACAATTAACTCGGTTACAATTTTTACCTGGGAAAGTTATTTGTGTGGTCCCAGAGAGGTTTATCCGGAATCGACCTTGTGACTTTCTCTTCTCATTCACGAAATCTTTCGAGGAACACTGTTTTTGAAGTGGGTGAAACTTTCTCATTTTTCATAAGGTAAATTTAATGAATCAGTGATAAGTTGAATCTTGTAAACCTGTTCCCTTGCTCTCTTTTCCATTTCTCTTCGTCAGAAACCATCCAACGATGCGGTTACTCAGCGTTTATTCAATCCGGAAAATTATCCACAAGCTCACAGAGACAACACGGGCACCAGCACAAGAAAAGCCGGATACAATCCACCACCTGGTCGTCAACTCAATAAAAAATGAAAGCACTTATCCTCAATGGATGTCAACGGATTTCTGATCGGTTGTCCGTTAGTTATCTGCACATAAACACACGTCGGCAATTTTTGTGGTTTATGAATACTGATACCCTATCCGATCCAAAAGATAAAACAGTCCAGACGGTAGCACTGTTATTCTTTGCGTTCGCGACACAGTTGTGAAACAGACTGGATAAAATTTCCTGCACTTATCCCTCGAAGTTGATTTTCACCTAACCAGTAGATCAACTGATCTCATGTGATAGGTTTTACAACTTCTCGTGTTTTTTATAGGGTGTTTATGCCTGAGACAGTAGGCGACCATCCATGTTGGCGTCTACCGGGGTACATGTACAAGAATTCATGAGGATAAGCATCATATAACTAAATCTTCTGGGTCTCGTGCATAGCTAAGCGCAACAGCTGTTGTTTGGGGGACCTCAAAGTGAATCAGCGCTATCCACGGAGTTCAAAAAATAAAAATATTTTACAATCTATTAAGAAAAGCAAATGCAATGTATTGACATTAAAAGTATTCCGTCAGCAACCCATCTCTTACATACTGAGACATTATCAAGAGCTAAGCGGTAACCTCCTCATGTCAACCACTGTGCTTTAGTTTGTAGTACTTCAAAATTGCCTTTGTTCTGTAATTCGTTATCGAAATCAGTTGTAAAGAATGTTTGCGCATATACGCTTATTATATACAAAGCGTCAATGTTTCCATCCCAAAACAGTCTGATCACGCATGTGAAGTGTCACCCTTACCAGTTACCAGTGCGTTTTCTAACACACACAGCAATAGAATATACGTATAATACAGGTAAAAATGCCAAGGATATATGCGTGGTCTGTGTGGAACACTAAAGCTCCGCAAGCTGACAGTCGAGTAAACCGCGCATCTGTGGAATCCTCACGGTTAGCGGCATCCGGTTTCGGATTTGCCTATCAGTGTGGCCAGCCACAGGACGCCCGCACCTACAGAGAGACCATGGGTGGCGTGCACTGCACCATCCACAGCTCCAACCACACACTCCAAATCCAGTGTAAACCCGAAGGAATAAGACCAGGAGGCATATGGATGGGGGCCATGTTTCATCAACGGAGCCGGCCCACACACCTTCGCAGGCAAACACATGCCCGCTGTATTTGGGAATCAATCGCACATAAGGCGGTGGCTGGACCGTAGTCCACTCCACACAGATTGCAAGGAAGCACTCTTCGAACCTAGCACATCCACAAAGACCGTGCACCCAGTCCTCTCTAGCAACGACCAACTGACATCTGGAACCTTTATGGACGAGGTAGTGGGTAATAGACAGGTAGGCACCTTGTCAACATGCACATCCAGCCCAGCTACACCGGGGATATCAAACCACAGCCATTCACTTGAAATGACAATCATAGCTAAAATAAATCCTATGCTGCATACAGATATGCCGACATGGCTCTTCAATAAATAAGAATACAGCATAAATAGGTTGCCAAAGTTCAGCTATTGGTTCAATTCGTCAGCAGATATATTTTAAGAAAACGTCGCGAAAGCGAACTTGTTATCAAAAATAATCATAATTAACTTGAGCCACGTGTACAAGTTAATAGGAGATAGGTCACATAAATATTACTGAGAGAAAATAGCAAACCCCCTACCTGAACTAAAGAGACCCAGCATGCAAGAAAGCGATTAGTAAATTGAGTGCTGCTTTCCTACAAACGCTGCCTCGGTTCTGCTTACGCTCTCTGCAGGACCAGTTGTCATTTCAGTGTTGGTCGTGAGTGGCCTCGCTTATGGATCATTTGGCCCACCTGAGTCAGGCAATCGCGACCGCATTTGCCACAGCACCATGGGATCGATGTCGATGGAGTAGAACACATCGGCGCCAGCCGCTTCAGCACTTGCTGCCACTTTTCCGCATGCACGAGGTCTTTCTCCTGTCCCTCGGCAACGGTCTTTGTGATCAGATCGCGCCATGCAAACCGATCAACCGCCTTCGATTCCCGTGACCCGCAATCAAGATTAGAACGTGAGAGACTCACTATGATCATGTCCTGGTAACGAAGGTTCGGTTTCTCCACATGCCGTTTCCCAACACAGCTGGCCATATAATAGCTGCTTCGGTATCCGTGCGAATCCATGTGCCACACATGACCGAGGCACCTTAGGTGTCTTAGTAAAAGTATGCCGTCCATAGCATAAATTCCAGTTTCGTGCAACACTTCTGTGTCCGCAACTCTGTCGCGTCAACCGACGTGCAGAATTCGTCGCAAACAATGTTGATGGAACAGCTTAAATTATCGCACATCCCGCCGGTACGTCGTCCATGTTTCGCTGCCATATAGAAGAACGGACAGTATCATGGATTTGTACACCGACGGCTTCGTGCCAACGGTAACCTGATGGTTGTTCCACATTCGATACTCTAGATTCCCGAATGCAGCCACTGCCCACGAGACGCGGATACCCAGCTCACTGTGTAGCTGCTGGTCAGTCGACATCACACTCCCAAGGTAGCAGAAGCGGGAGGTGGTTTCTAATACTTCTGCACCAAAGCTGATTCGCGGCACTATTAAAGATTGTACCTCCGGTGAAGGCTAAAAGAGACAGACAGTTTTGCTTGTGTTGATGGTTAACCCGAAATTTGGCCGCTGTCAAAGTCAGAGCACTAGTCCTGTGCTGCAACTCATCCGCGCTGTGTACAAACAACGCACAGTCGTCAGCAAACAGCAACATATGGATGGTTGTCTCACAGACTAGGGTTCTCGCACCGAAATGACGAATGTTCAGCAACCCGGCCTCAATACGGTGCTCCACATAAACACCGTAAGCACAAAACGTCATTAGTTGAAGATAAATATTAAATAGGGCAGAAGCTAAGATACAGCCTTGCTTCACACCAGAGGTAACTGCAAAGTCATCCGAGGTCTTTCCATTCAGCTGCACCCTCGCCCGTATACCACTGTGCAGACGTTCAAGTAAACTTCCTCATAATATCCAGGTTACACACAGGCAAAGCTGCCTACAATATTTCGAGGAGGCTGGTGACCACAATGATTGTCTTGTCTCGTCAGAACTCGATGAGTGAAATTCATATCGTGTAATGCAGATAGTGTAAGTAACGTCAGAACTTTTTAAAGATCTCTAACGTAGGTGCAGAAATGATAAAAGTAGGAACAGCATTCCAGGCATAAGAAATTCGCAAGGAAAACTTGAAGCTGCGTTCTGTCCGACTGCACTGAGTGGCTATTTCAGTTGGTGGCTCCTTAATTTTGTGTTGCAGCCAAACTTCAGAAGTTGGCGGTAAACGATTTTAGAGTCTTTAAAAAGTTGATAGAACAGAACGTGGTTGCTCCTTAGACAGTGACAGCTTCCGTTGTCCATTCCTAGGTCTTTCAGTCGTGGTTAGCATGACAGATAAAGCAAGCGCTTGACAGTTTTGGTTAAGCTTCGCCTTGGGATCTCCATTACAGCCAGATCACGTTTCAGGAAAGGTTACCACGCCTGAATCGCGTACTCCACATGAAGTCTCACATACATATTAAGTACTTCTGGATAGACAGCAGGGTTGAACCCACCGAAAGCTGTCCGTGAAAGACAGGCATGTTGTGTAGCGGCGTTGGACGCCTTCAAGCATTTCTCCGAGCACCTGAGGTCATCTTTCATCACCACATCAAGGTCGCACTCCTGTGAGGTGTTCTTATATGAGTGGTCTATATGTTTGTATGATCAGTGAGTATGTGATGACGTGTATGTACAATTTTACACTTGCTCGCGTTAAAAAGAAGTAACTTTGTCTTTAACCGTTCAAAAGCACCATCTAAGTCTCCCTGCAGCAGATCGTGCTTTTCCGGATTACTGATCGCTTGCCATATCTTTGTGCCCACGGGAAAAGCAAAAAGGTTCGACTATATGACACACAAAATATTGATGATGAAGACCAAGAATAAGTGTGGCACTACCACTTATCCTTGTGGAACCACGCAATCCATTTCACAAAGATGGAACAATTAGCCCTTATCCTGACAATGAAGAAGGAAATTTCCGATGCATCCGAGGACGTAGCTCGCAATAACATACGTTTGCAGCTTTTGGGGAAGCATTTGGTGGTCTAAGCGATCGGGGACTTTAGAAAATTCTAGGTAGATGACACGGATTCCAGTCCGACATTCCGCTATTTCCATCCAACTGCCATACGCAGAGTATATAGGTAGCACACTACAGATCTTCTCGGATGCCGCGTTGTTCAGTACTATGATGTTAAAGCTTCTTAAGCAGTCCATTAATGCTTCATCAATGAGCGACTCCATCACCATTAAAAGCACTTGGAGCAGAATGATTGGGCGACTGTTGGTGGATTCCGAACAGTTAGCAATGTTAAAACATCTGGGTACTAATAACCTGCTTTCGCATGGTAGGCGGATTCTGTTCATCAAAGGAACTTTAAAAGAATCACAATAATGCCTCGGCTAGCGTCATCGCTGCAACTTGTAGTGCTTTGGGGCATATGCTGTCAACTCCCTTGGAACTATGGGTGCGCAACCATAATTGCCTCCTCACAGCGATCGCTGAACTAAAAGTGGAGTGAGTTAACACTAGTGTCTGCAGGACAGGTGCCGCGTCGGATTATTGGGACATATAATAGCCATAGAGCGATGGCTGCAACATCGACGGTTTAATCGCATCCATTTGCTAAGATGAGTGGGCTTACACCGTGCAGCGTTTTCCGAGTTAATTCACATGTTTGTAGGGAAACGTATAATTGGCACTGAACTTTTGCGCTAGACACTGCTGGTGTAATAATTGGTCCTCACGGACAACTGTGGTACAGTGAACGTCCTGCACCAAATGTTTGCTCCAGTTGCCGAGGCTACGGTTACGACTGCACGCATGCCACGCTGCGAATGTTACAGCTATGTATTTTCGGGTTATACTCCGAATGAAAGATGGTGCTCTTGTAAAGCGATACTTCCCGAAGCAATTGTGATCAGATCACTGTGTTTGTCAACAAACTCCACCAAAGTATCGGTATCGTCATCCAAAAATTCGCAGATGACTTCACCAATCAGCTTTGTCATGTTTTTGTAATGTGTGCTGGTACGAATCTCGTAAATGTATTCATGTGGATAGTACACATAAAACACAGTAGTAAAGTATAGTGAGATGAACGATCAAACCTAGAAACCTCTCCATCTTTAGCTGTACAGTGGTGAGCTTTCCGTTCCTGAGCGAATCATTTACTACGTAATTACAAGTTAAGGTTTATTATGATCAA